TGTCCAGAGATTCATCTTGGTGGATGGGTGATAAGAGACCATCTCTCGGCATGGTCACCTTTGCCTGGGTGAAGGCTGAAACCAATGTCTTACCATGTGATGACTGCATTCATAGCCTAAGTAAAAGAACTGGAATAAGCAACCATGCAAAAAGGGACATTATAATAAGGTTTTGCCCTTCCACAGCACCCTTTCAGTGGTAGATTTCAGAATATTTTAGAAATATGGGCAGGTCTGACCTTGTTTTGAGTAATAACTGGAATGAAGGTGTAAAGTGACTTGCGCGAGATGTTGCAGTGTTGCTGCTGTCAAAATTTTGGGAGAACATGAGTGCCTCTTCCCATGTTTGTTCATGAGTCATTTAGTCAGCATGGGTGATGGTCTCAGTAATCTGATGGTCTCTGTGTAGTCTGTAATGAGTATGTTGTTCACAGGACCTTATTCCTCATGCTGGTGGTTTCCACTTTATGATAGGGTGAGGGTGTGATGCTTGAAAGGTAGTTTGCGCTGCTTCTACTTGTGTTGTAGCTATTCTGCAATTGAATAAAGACCTTCAGTCTCCAGAAGTATTATTCCAGTACCTTTCCTCAGCACAACATTATGGCAAAATAACAAAATGTTTAAACTTTCAAATACTATAACTAAATACCAACAGCATTCCCCTGCTTTCTGGATTACTGCAGGACAGTCAAGTTCTCTCTGGTGGCTCAGGAGATGATGGGCTCTTACTCATAGGGGAACATACACGCTTACCGCACTGCAGGTATTGGGAACAGTGCTGTCTACATGTTGAGATTGTGAATGCCTAAAACAAAGCTAAATAGTTCCTGTGCTTGAAATCCCTTCCTTGAGAGCATGAAGCTTCAGTCGTTTCATGTTATGGGTGTAAATTATGTTGGCCTTTTTTTGCATGTGTCCTGAATACCAAATGAATGTCTTTATTTGCAAAGGATGTGAAACAAACTCTGCAAGTGGAACTTTACTGCTACTAAACTGCTACTGCCAAGCATGCAGACCTTAAAAAGGGCCTGTTACTGAGGTGCAGCAGCAGGGTAGCTGCTGTGAAGAACTGTCATCATATGATGTTTCTTAACAACTTTTAAGTTCTGTAGTAAGCATGTCAATTACTTTAGGACCAGAACACCTGTGGGGTGCCAAATATCTGTTCCCCTTTGAGGTCTTGGTCTACCTTGAAATGGGCTGTGACAATGTTTCTGGATGTGTCAGCTGGAGCTAAGAAGCAGGATGACTTCACAGTGCATTTCCAAGGCAGTTGCCTATGTCCTAGTATGACAACCTGATGTCATTTCTTTGAATTTCTGCCTCACTTTTAATCTCTCCAGCTGAAAATTTGCAAACTGCCTTCTGGAAAATTTTGGCCAAAACAGTCCAATCATTTTTAAAAGCAAAACAAAACAAAAAGAAGATATTATTTTGACCGTATTAAAAATATTCTGGAAACTTTTCTGAGAAGCTTTAGCACCTCTGTGACTTGGGGAGGAAAATGGAAATTTGGAAGGTCATACTCTCTGAAAAATCACACTCCTTCAATGAAGGCTCTCTTACTGTTTCATCAGCAAAAGCCTTCATCACTGAGTAAGCTTAGGCTGTTGTGCATGACTGAATTATGAGTGCACATGGCTTACCGGATAACCAAACGTACCCCATCACCTTCCAGCTCCTGCGTTCTGCCAGGCTATGCATCAGCCCTGCTATTCAGATAGCAGGCTCATGCACAAAGGCTATAAGGGCAGAGCCCAACTTCCCGGTAATGCCTGCCTAACCAGGAGTTTGGGAAAAGTAACTTAAATACGGCTGTGCATAGCAAGTGCAAGCAGGAAGACTCACCATTGTACTCTGACTTGTTTTCTTGCTGGCAGGTGGGTAGAGAGCAGAAGAAAGTGGGTCTGAACACTGAGAGAAGAGAATAACCAGGTAGGAGAAAAGCTGGGATGAAGAATTTGGAGAAAGACAAAAGCAGTGCATGTGAGCCAGTCTAGGGAAACAGGTAAAGGGCACTGACGTGGGTAAAGCAGGACCTGGGATCAGATGGGTAAAGAAAAGGAAAGCTGGAGTGTGACTGGTGATGGTGAGGAGCAGGAGAAACAGAGTTCAAGGGATTTTGGGCGTGGAGAGAGAAGGAGGAGGAGGAGAGAGACCACAGCAGGAACGGTAAGAGCAGAGACAGTGAGCCCCGGGGAGGGCAAGGAGGCTCACATTGGATGAAATGCCAAAAGCTGGATCTGGTGTGGCAGAGAAGAAGGACTGAGGCAGAGATGGGGAACCAAAGGTGGAGAGAGAGTGTGGGGAGGGAGAGGGAAGAGAAAATAGGTGGAGAAATAAGAACAGGAACAGGTGTTCATGTAACCTTAGCCTTGACTGCAAAGTGTAAGCAGAGAGACCAGATGAAAATTACACTAGCAACCTTCCTTCTGGTACTTCCAAGCTATTGTATTGCCTTTGTAACCCTAATGCTGTCCATTTCAGGTGTGTTTAGGTGTGCCTATGTGCAACGTACAACGTTAAGTGTGCAGACATGCATTAGTGTAAAGTGCAGCCCTTACATCTTTCAAGACGTCATATAACATAAAAGTTGAAGTTCTAACATTAATTTTTTCTCCGATGCAATGAACATACCTTACAGTTAGTGTGTGATTTGAAGTACATAAGAAAAGATCAGGATAAGTCCAGATTAGTGCAGGGTCTCTGAGACATCTTACAGATAAAGTTAAATAATTGGATTTGAACTGTTTGGGAAATTGAAGTCTCTGGAATATTTTTGTCTCCCATAGTTAGGAAGACAAAGATGATGTAGCTGGTCTCAGAAATAGGGCTTTTCAGGATTTATTTTCCTGGGAACTGGGAGCTCAAAAAAATTTGCATTTAGCTTTGCAGAGTAAAATCCAATGGTCTGCAGCAGTGTCTTTCAAAGTGTAGTCTGTTAACTACAGGATCCATAAATAGCTTTTATGAGGCCTGTAATGTTCTGTAAGAAATATGGGACTATTGCTTAAATTTGCTATAATAGTAAATTTTATAAAAGTCTATAAATGGGAAAAAAATTGCAAGCCCTTAATGGACAGTGTACAGATTTGGGGGAGACTGAAGGCACTTCAGAACTGGGCCTTATTTGATGAAGTGGCCAGTTTTGTAAAGCCAAGGGTGAGCATTTGGATATGTGTTTTTGGTTTATGCTCTCTGTGCTCTTTTCTGCCAAGAATCATTCTTTCCAATTAGGATAAACTGCCTCTGCCCATTGCAGCTTTAGATTTTCATTCCACCTGGGATATACTGGTAATGCTGAGATACAAAATCATCTTCTGAATGTATTGCAGCTAAATTCAGTTGTATAAATCCAAGAACTAGCTGGATACTATAAATAGGCAGGATGTGCAAGGAAGCCAAGATGAAAATGTGCAGCAACTATGGCTTTCTCTTTAATGCAACCCTGAAGTTGTGCTACTTTTCATCACGTATGATACCTTTTATCTGAGTAGAAAACAAAGTATGCTTGTTCTTGGTGGTTATAATATTTAACTGAACATAACGAAGCATTGAATTTCACACTTCAGAGAAGTGGATGAGGGAGAATGGGTACGTTTTTCTCAAATTTTGTTGCTTCGAGTGTTTTCTTAGAGGTAGTTTTCTACAAGATTGGGTAGGGAGAGCAGAAAGACATCTGTTTCATATTATATGATGGCTGTACTTTGGCAATGGAAAAAGATGGCACTTAAAAAAAAAAAAAGGAATGAAGAATAAAAAGAGAAGCTTGGCAACTACAGAATGGAGCAACAATTACAAGAACTATCTTAAAATTCTCAGGATTCATAATGTATTTTTCCACGCATGCATTTTTGTAATATTGCTGATGATGAAGGAATGGGGGGGGTGGGAAATTCTGTAGGACTTTAGCAGGTACAGATGTCTTTGTGAAACAACCTCCTTTCCTCAGATTGCACCCCCCCTCAGCAGCCATTGTGATTAACATGTGGGCAGTAGCCAAGGAGAATGTGTCAGCATAGGGGGTAGGAAGCAGAGTTCATGTTCACTTCAAAAAAGTAATAATTTTCTTCTATTGTTTTCTATTTTCTATTCTTTCTATTGTTTTCTATTGTTTTCTTCAGCCAGTGGCCACCAAATAATCAAGATGGTCTCCTCTTTAACTGCCATTGACTCTGTGTGTAAGGTCAGAATTAAAATTAATGCAAATGCTTTTCAGAAACAGAGCAATATGCGGCATCTTTAGAGTGGAAGAGGGGAAAAGTAGTTCATGTGATGTAACAGTACCTGTTGGTGTGTCACCTATTGCAATTTCTGATTTTTTTTTTCTGTTTTTATATAATCACCTAGTAAATGCTCTCTTTTTTTTTCTCATCATAAGGTGGCCCCAAAGTACAAAGAGCTCAGACTCTCTGCTCATATGGTAGACATTTTCATCTTCTAGTGAAGCTAGTGAGAGCGGAGGATACTGAGCATCTGTCCGTTTCTGAACAAGGCTATGGGGTGTGACATGTGAGCACCTTCCAAGAGTGCAGTAAATGATGCAGCCCCTGGGACTTGTTTTCACATCGTCTCATTTGGAAAGTGGAACGCTTCAGCCTTTGCAGGGTTGGGGACTGGAAAGGCTGGGAATCATGTTTTTCCTGCAACAGAGTCTAAGCTACATGGCAGTACCTCCAGGTTGTTCAGCAACTCAGCTGCCCTGAAATAGAACACTGGAACAAAATATGTTCTGAGTGACTTTTAACTAAAAGCTAATGTGAAAATGTGGGAGTCTGAACCAATGTAAACATATTAAATTTAAAACCATTTTCAAATGTAGTGAATAAAAAAATGGTGTTGCTGCTCTTGAAACTCCTAAAGGACACATTTCTCCTTCTGAGTCATGATTTAATTAGATTATGTTTTATTAGACATTCTTTACAAATTTTAAAATACTGCTATTTTACATGCACAAAGGAAAATCAGTTTGAACAATTGTATGTAGGCATTCATTGAAGTCAACCACAAAACAGGAACATTTTATGTCAGTTATCAATGTACTCGATATGTATATCTAAAGTGCATTATGTTACAAAAAATACAGAAAGTCAGCAGCACCAAGATACTTTCACAAAATAAATACACCAGTCAACAAAATAAATTATGGTAAATGTGACAATAATAATTGTCTTAGCCTTAGCCAAAAAAAAAAAAAAAAGGAAAATTCACAATAACCAAATGTGCAGTTTCAGAGAGCAATGGGGGGAAAAGGTTTTATTCTTAGCATTTACAATATTTACAGGTAATAAATATTTTAATACTTCCCATATGTTCACTATTACAGAATACTGCAATATGTCTTCCAAAGGTCTCTTGCCGAAAATGTCAGCGCCTCCTGCAAAGAAGAGAAAAGGATAGAAAAAAAATATAAAAAAAATAATTTTCACTTCAAACACATGAACATACAGTTAATGGTAAGATTGTCACAGATAATAAGGGGTACTTTGCTACTAGCAAGTCTAGTTTGACAGCAAAAGGTATTAGACATCTTTTTAAAATCTCTACTATATTGCTTTAAATCAAATTGCTAGCAGTATGAAGGTCTACAGTCGGTCATGAAACCGAGGCCATATATTCCACTGCATTGTCCTCTCAGAAAAATTGGAAGAGACTTTGGCTTTTCTTCAGACCTTATGCAAGAAGATTCCTGAGTGCTATGGGTAGGAAGAGTATAGCAATCTGTAACAAATACATCAAGCTCCAAAAGAAAAATATAGTGGGAGAAATGAGAAATTTGGTTTTAAGGTAGGAAAATGAAAATGCTTATTTCCGCTCCATGGCACTCATGTGCCTGTTGCGTTACTTGCCTGGGTGTGAAGCCAGGCTTCCAATTAAACCTCTCCTATGGTGGTCCTTTGGGCTATCTTCCCTAGTATAGACCACCCATTAGATAAAGGGCTATTTATTTTAGAGGTATACTGTCCTGACATGTACATGAATTTTTCTTCAGTAAAGTCTGCTCAGGTCTCCAGCTGATGCTTGACTGACTATTTCTCTTATTTCTTGAATGAATGAAAACCCTACAGTCCTGTAACTTTGTCTCTGTGAGCCAAAAAGCTTGATCCTGAAAGAAAGAAAGTGTCTCATGTTAAGTTCTGACTATTTGCAACTCCTGTGGTGCTCAGCTGAAGCTGAAACATTCAGCATCTTCCTGTATACACTCCTAAGATCTGGAAGTTTTCTAAGGGTCACTAACAGACTGGTGTAAATTCTGTAATCCTCACTTCCTTGTGAATTCATGAGAACAAAAGCAGGATCTGCTCCCATCCTGTCAGTATATTACTTACATTACAGTATTATATTTTAAATTATTTTCTAGCTGTGCTATAGGAAATGCTGAAGGGCTGGGCTTTTTCCCCTTCTATCACTGTGTGCGGTACATTTCTCTAATGTATGCTGGTTTCCTTGGAAACGGCTATGAGGTGGAATGGGAAGCTATAGCATAGAGTATGATTTGCTATGTTGCTGGCCTGGTCAGCAAAGCTGTAGGTGGTGGTCCACATTGCGGACATGTGTGGGTGTGAGACACAAAAAGGCCAACTTCTTGAGAATTTAAGGATTTCTTAATGTGCATATTGAAAGTGAGCCTGCATTTAACATTAGGGAGTCTACTAATTTGAAAGATTTTCCAGGAAATTAGGTAATAATGGTTTAATTGAATGGGAATGGGAATATAGTTGGAATGTCCGTGAGAAAGAATCGTTTAAGTGCCTGGAATGGAAAGGTTAGCATGAAGCCGCTTAATAATTAACTAGCGATACTGATATTCAGGGTATATTACAGTATGTGTAACGATGGTCACACAATTCATACAGCACGACTGTGTATGTGAGTCTGTACTACACAGGCCTGTTTTCAAGACAATGACATTTTCACTCTGGTTTGGATTAAGGCTTTATTGTAGAGTTTGAGCTAAACCACAGCTTGAGAAGGGCCTCCATGTCACCAATAACTTGCAAGCTTCTTTCTGTGATTCTGGTCCCAGATACTGCAAGAACAGCTACTTTTATGTGATACATTCTGTAAGAACTCAAAAGGTCTAGAGAGTAGGTCATTTTCAGTCTTTGTTCTGACCTGAGCCCAAGATTTTGGGATGGTGGTGGGAATTGGCATGAGGATTTTAGTTTAGCCTGCTGA